CCAACAACATTAAAAACACCAACGTTAAAAACACCAACAACGTTAAAAAACAGCAACAACGCTAAAAAACAGCAACAACCCTTAAAACAGCAACAACCCTTAAAACAGTAACTTTAAAAATAGCAACAACGTTATAAAAAAACAACAGCGCTAAAAAACACCAACAACCTTAAAAAAACACCAACAACACTAAAAACAGCAACAATGTTAAAAAAACAGCAACAACGCTTAAAACAGCAATAACACTAAAAAAAACAGCAACAGCGCTCAAAAACACCAACAACGTTAAAAAACACCAACAACGTTAAAAAACACCAACAACGCTAAAACACAGAAACAACCCTTAAAACAGCAACAATGTTAAAAACAGCAACTTTAAAAATAGCAACAACGTTAAAAAAAAACAACAATGTTAAAAACAGTAACTTTAAAAATAGCAACGTTAAAAAAAACCAACAACGCTAAAAAACACCAACAACGTTAAAAAAACACCAACAACACTAAAAACAGCAACAATGTTAAAAAAACAGCAACAATGTTAAAAAAACAGCAACAACGCTCAAAAACACCAACGTTAAAAAAACAGCAACAACACTAAAAACAGCAACAATGTTAAAAAACAGCAACAACACTAGAAAACACCAAGAACGTTAAAAACAGCAACAGTAAAAACAGCAACAACATTAAAAACACCAACAAGGTTAAAAACACCTACAACGCTAAAAAACAGCAACAATATTATAAAACAGCAACAACGTTAAAAAACAGCAACAATGTTAAAAACAGCCACAATGTTTAAAACAGCAACAACGTTAAAATCACCAACAATGCTAAAAAACAGCAACAATGTTAATAAACAGCAACAACGTTAAAAAACAACAATGTTAATAAACAGCAACAATGTTAAAAACAGCAACAACGTTAAAATCACCAACAATGTTAAAAAACATCATCAATGTTAATAAACAGCAACAACCTTTAAAACAGCAACAATATTAAAAAACAGCAACAACGCTTAAAACAGCAACAACGTTAAAAAACAACAATGTTAATAAACAGCAACAATGTTAAAAACAGCAACATTTAAAACAGCAACAATGTTAAAAAAACAGCAACAACGCTTAAAACAGCAATAACACTAAAAAAAACAGCAACAACGTTAAAATCACCAACAATGCTAAAAAACAGCAACAATGTTAATAAACAGCAACAACGTTAAAAAAACAACAATGTTAATAAACAGCAACAATGTTAAAAACAGCAACAACGTTAAAACACCAACAATGTTAAAAAAACATCATCAATGTTAATAAACAGCAACAACCTTTAAAACAGCAACAATATTAAAAAACAGCAACAACGCTTAAAACAGCAACAACGTTAAAAAACAACAATGTTAATAAACAGCAACAATGTTAAAAACAGCAACATTTAAAACAGCAACAATGTTAAAAAAACAGCAACAACGCTTAAAACAGCAATAACACTAAAAAAAACAGCAACAGCGCTCAAAAACACCAACAACGTTAAAAAACACCAACAACGCTAAAAAACAGCAACAACCCTTAAAACAGCAACAATGTTAAAAACAGCAACTTTAAAAATAGCAACAACGTTAAAAAAAACCAACAATGTTAAAAACAGCAACTTTAAAATAGCAACAACGTTAAAAAAACACCAACAACACTAAAAACAGCAACAATGTTAAAAAAACAGCAACAACGCTCAAAACACCAACGTTAAAAAAACAGCAACAACACTAAAAACAGCAACGATGTTAAAAAACAGCAACAACACTAGAAAACACCAAGAACGTTAAAAACAGCAACAACAGTAAAAACAGCAACAACATTAAAAACAACAACAAGGTTAAAAACACCTACAACGCTAAAAAACAGCAACAATATTAAAAAACAGCAACAACATTAAAAACAGCAATAATGTTAAAAACAGCAACGTCAAAAACAGAAACAACGCTAAAAACAGAAACAATGCTAAAAAAACAGCAACAACGTTAAAAACAGCAACAACACTAAAAACACCAACAATGTTAAAGAACAGCAAAAATGTTAAAAACAGCAACAACGTTAAAAACAGAAACAACATTAAACACAGCAACAACACTAAAACCAGCAACAACGCTAAAAAACAGCAACAACACTAGAAAAACAGCAACAACGCTCAAAAACACCAACGTTAAAAAAACAGCAACAATATTAAAAAACAGCAACAACGCTTAAAACAGCAACAACGTTAAAAAAAACAATGTTAAAAAACATCAATGTTAATAAACAGCAACAACCTTTACAACAGCAACAATATTAAAAAACAGCAACAACGCTTAAAACAGCAACAACGTTAAAAAACAACAATGTTAATACACAGCAACAATGTTAAAAACAGCAACATTTAAAACAGCAACAACGTTAAAATCACCAACAACGCTAAAAAACAGCAACAATGTTAATAAACAGCAACAACCCTTAAAACAGCAACAATGTTAAAAACAGCAACAATATTAAAAAACAGCAACAACGTTAAAAAACAACAATGTTAATAAACAGCAAAAATGTTAAAAACAGCAACAATGTTTAAAACAGCAACAACGTTAAAATCACCAACAATGTTAAAAAACATCAACAATGTTAATAAACAGCAACAACCCTTAAAACAGCAACAATATTAAAAAACAGCAACAACGTTAAAAAACAACAACAATGTTAATAAACAGCAACAATGTTAAAAACAGCAACAACGCTAAAAAACAGCAACAATGTTAATAAACAGCAACAACCTTTACAACAGCAATATTAAAAAACAGCAACAACGCTTAAAACAGCAACAACGTTAAAAAACAACAATGTTAATACACAGCAACAATGTTAAAAACAGCAACATTTAAAACAGCAACAACGTTAAAATCACCAACAACGCTAAAAAACAGCAACAATGTTAATAAACAGCAACAACCCTCAAAACAGCAACAATGTTAAAAACAGCAACAATATTAAAAAACAGCAACAACGTTAAAAAACAACAATGTTAATAAACAGCAAAAATGTTAAAAACAGCAACAACGTTTAAAACAGCAACAACATTAAAATCACCAACAATGTTAAAAAACATCAACAATGTTAATAAACAGCAACAATCCTTAAAACAGCAACAATATTAAAAAACAGCAACAACATTAAAAACAACAACAATGTTAATAAACAGCAACAATGTTAAAAACAGCAACAACGTTAAAATCACCAACGTTAAAAAAACAGCAACAATATTAAAAAACAGCAACAACGCTTAAAACAGCAACAACGTTAAAAAAAAACAATGTTAAAAAACATCATCAATGTTAATAAACAGCAACAACCTTTACAACAGCAACAATATTAAAAAACAGCAACAACGCTTAAAACAGCAACAACGTTAAAAAACAACAATGTTAATACACAGCAACAATGTTAAAAACAGCAACATTTAAAACAGCAACAACGTTAAAATCACCAACAACGCTAAAAAACAGCAACAATGTTAATAAACAGCAACAACCCTTAAAACAGCAACAATGTTAAAAACAGCAACAATATTAAAAAACAGCAACAACGTTAAAAAACAACAATGTTAATAAACAGCAAAAATGTTAAAAACAGCAACAACGTTTAAAACAGCAACAACGTTAAAATCACCAACAATGTTAAAAAACATCAACAATGTTAATAAACAGCAACAACCCTTAAAACAGCAACAATATTAAAAAACAGCAACAACGTTAAAAAACAACAACAATGTTAATAAACAGCAACAATGTTAAAAACAGCAACAACGTTTAAAACAGCAACAACGTTAAAATCACCAACAACGCTAAAAAACAGCAACAATGTTAATAAACAGCAACAACCCTTAAAACAGCAACAATGTTAAAAACAGCAACAATATTAAAAAACAGCAACAACGCTTAAAACAGCAACAACGTTAAAAAACAACAATGTTAATAAACAGCAAAAATGTTAAAAACAGCAACAACCCTTAAAACAGCAACAATATTAAAAAACAGCAACAACGCTTAAAACAGCAACAACGTTAAAAAACAACAATGTTAAAAAACATCATCAATGTTAATAAACAGCAACAACCTTTACAACAGCAATATTAAAAAACAGCAACAACGCTTAAAACAGCAACAACGTTAAAAAACAACAATGTTAATACACAGCAACAATGTTAAAAACAGCAACATTTAAAACAGCAACAACGTTAAAATCACCAACAACGCTAAAAAACAGCAACAATGTTAATAAACAGCAACAACCCTCAAAACAGCAACAATGTTAAAAACAGCAACAATATTAAAAAACAGCAACAACGTTAAAAAACAACAATGTTAATAAACAGCAAAAATGTTAAAAACAGCAACAACGTTTAAAACAGCAACAACGTTAAAATCACCAACAATGTTAAAAAACATCAACAATGTTAATAAACAGCAACAATCCTTAAAATAGCAACAATATTAAAAAACAGCAACAACATTAAAAACAACAACAATGTTAATAAACAGCAACAATGTTAAAAACAGCAACAACGTTAAAATCACCAACAACGCTAAAAAACAGCAACAATGTTAATAAACAGCAACAACCCTTAAAACAGCAACAATGTTAAAAACAGCAACAATATTAAAAAACAGCAACAACGCTTAAAACAGCAACAACGTTAAAAAACAACAATGTTAATAAACAGCAAAAATGTTAAAAACAGCAACAACCCTTAAAACAGCAACAATGTTAAAAACAGCAACAACGCTCAAAAACACCAACGTTAAAAAACAGCAACAACACTTAAAACAGCAACAATGTTAAAAAACAGCAACAACACTAAAAAACAGCAACAACGTTAAAAACAGCAACAACGTTAAAAACAGCAACAACGCTAAAAAACAGCAACGTTAAAAAAACTGCTAACTCTTATCTTATTGTCTGTGTGTGTGTGTGTGTGTCCAGGTGAGTTCATTAAAGCTCTGTATGAGTCAGATGAGAACTGTGAGGTCGACCCGTCTCGCTGTGCGACCTCTGACCTTGCAGAGCATCAGGCCAACCTGAGGATGTGCTGTGAACTTGCCTTCTGTAAGATCCTCGACTCCTACAGGTACCCACAGTACCCACAGTACACAGCCAGAGTACACACAGTACACAGTGTATTTATACATATAGTACACATATACCCCTTCCTCACTCAGGGTCTTCCCCCGGGAGCTGAAGGAGGTGTTTGCGTCATGGCGACAGGAGTGCGGTAACCGGGGGCGGCCAGACATTAGCGAGCGCCTCATTAGCGCCTCGTTGTTCCTGCGCTTCCTGTGTCCGGCTGTGATGTCACCATCACTGTTTGACCTGATGCAGGAATACCCTGACGAACGCTCAGCAAGAACTTTAACCCTCATCGCCAAGGTCATCCAGACCCTCGCCAACTTCAGCAAGTAAGTTTTCACGTTTATTGTGAAAAAACTGGAGGGCTTTTATTTCGAAAGATCTGCTAGGCTTTTACTGTCACCTGTGTCCTGTGGTTCAGGTTCGGCACTAAAGAGGAGTACATGCTGTTTATGAACGACTTTGTGGAGCGGCAATGGAGCAGCATGCAGCGTTTCCTGCAGGAGATCTCAAACCCTGACGGACTGAACCACACCGCTGGCTTCGACGGATACATCGACCTCGGCCGGGAGCTCTCCACCCTGCACACCCTGCTGACCGAGCTTGACCAGGTAACACACCTGATCACGTGTAGCCTGTAAGTTCCCAGAATCCAGCCAGGCTAGCATTTTCCCCCTGCCCCCAATCTTTATGCTAAGCTAAGCTAACTGCTGCTGGCTGTAGCTTTATATTTAAAGTGTGGACAAACTCTTTACAGAACTCTACCTGTCTCTCTCTCCTACCTCTCTGTCTGTCTCCAGTCATGTCTGTCGAAGCTCGGTCCTCTTCCTCGGATCCTCAGAGACGTGTCGGCAGCTCTGGCTAACCCGGGGGGTGTGGCTAATCCCGGGGGGGTTTCCGTGTCTTCCCCAGAGCCTCAGCGTGTGGTGTCTCCGCCTCCTATGTCCCCGCCCCCTCTGTCCCCACCCCTCTCTCCTCCTCTGGCGGCTTGTAATCCCTCCATCGGCCTGCAGGGAGGCGTCGGACTGGATGGAGGGTTAGCATCCTGTTAGCATTAGCATCCAGTTATCAACAGAAAAAAGGCAGAGCAGCACTGACCAATAACAACTACTCTGTGGTTGCCAGGGCTTTACTCTGTGGTTTCTAGGGCTTTACTCTGTGGTTGCTAGGGCTTTACCCTGTGGTTGCTAAGGCTTTACTCTGTCTGTGGTTGCTAGGGCTTTACTCTGTGGTTGCTAGGGCTTTACCCTGTGGTTGCTAAGGCTTTACTCTGTCTGTGGTTGCTAGGGCTTTACTCTGTGGTTGCTAGGGCTTTAGTCTGTCTGTGGTTTCTAGGGCTTTACTCTGGTTGCTAGGGCTTTACTCTGTGGTTGCTAGGGCTTTACTCTGTGGTTTCTAGGGCTTTACTCTGTGGTTGCTAGGGCTTTACTCTGTCTGTGGTTGCTAAGGCTTTAATCTGTGGTTGCTAGGGCTTTACTCTATGGTTGCCAGGGCTTTACTCTGTCTGTGGTTGCTAGGGCTTTACTCTGTCTGTGGTTGCTAGGGCTTTACTCTGTCTGTGGTTGCTAGGGCTTTACTCTGTCTGTGGTTGCTAGGGCTTTACTCTGTCTGTGGGTGCTAGGGCTTTACTCTGTTCACTAGATGATTCTTTATAGGTGATTACTGGGAGTTGCTCTGGTTTATTTGAGTTGTTGCTATGGTGTTGCAATGCAGTTGCTATAGTGTTAATTAGGTGGTTTCTATCTTCCTGTGAAACAACACGTTGAGCTTACTGGGGAACTTTTAGTTTATCATTATTAAACTGTAATTGATTTTCAACCAGTTAATTTGATAAACACATTATTTATATGAGTCTCTAATCAATCAATATAAAGTTATTGATCTCTGCTGTGTGTGTGTGTGTGTGTGTGTGTGTGTGATGTAGTTTGGTAGATTTCACCAGACTTCCCTCTCCGACTCCAGAGAACAAAGATTTGTTCTTTGTCACCAAAGGATCCAGTCTACAGCCCGCATCAGGTGACCTTTAACCTTTATCCAACTCCTGACCTCAGTCTGTCACCTTTGACCTCTCGGTCTGACCTTTCTGTTGTGCTGATGTCACTTCCTGCAGGTCTGCAGGGCTCTCCGGCTCCGAGCTCGTCGTACTCGGAGCCCAATGAGAACGAGGTGGGGTTTGAAATGACCAACGGTGGCCGGAGGGAGGGGCCAGAGCTGACCAATGAGAGCCGCAGTCTGTCCCTGGTCGACCTGCAGGACTCCTCCCCTAGCGACGGCCTTGACGACAGCCAATGGCAGCGCAGGACCGGGCTCCTTCCCCTCTCCTTCCAGAACCCCGTGTATCACATGACCACCACGTCTCCACGGCAGCAGACGGACGCCACTCCCTCGGACGGCTCAGTGGGGTCACAGGGAAATGCTGATGACAGGAACGCCACGGCAACCAAACCCGCATTTCTTACCCAGATGTCTGTGGGGCTGGGAGGGGGCGAGAGAGGGGAGAGAGGGGAGAGGATGTCGGCCATGTCGAGTAGCAGCAGCGGCGAGGAATACTCAAGACGGGCGCTGTCTCTGACTGAGACTCTCACAGGTAACAAACAGGAAGTAGCAACAGTAACAGAGGCTCAATCGGCTGTGACCTTTGACCTCAGTGTTTCTTGTCTGTCACAGACTCACCTGATGATGTCACTGTTGTTGCCTCAGGTAGCTCCGCCCCTAATCGTCAGAACTCCTCGGGTCCTCAGAGACGCATCGATCAGCCCCCCCCACCCTCCTCAGCGGCACCAGGACCTCCTCGAGGTCGAACGCCTCCCAGCATGCTTAGTGGCGGCGGAGGCTCCGCCTACCCTCCTCGCCCTGCCTCTGGCAGCATGATGTCATCAAGTCCCGATTGGCCGAGCAGCGGTCAGTCACGGCTCAGACAGACGTCGTCATCGTCTAAAGGAGACAGCCCCGAGAAACAGCGGTCGGCTGCCAAGGTAACTGGGTTCTTACCATGGTTACATCCTCTCTGGTTGTCGTGGTAACACAAGACTGTAACTGTGTGTGTGTGTGTTCAGGCGCCCTCTCCCTGTGCTTTGGACCGGACGGCGGCCTGGCTGCTCAACATGAATTCTGCTTCCTCCTACGGCGAGACGGAGGACGATCGCCACGACGATGCCCTCATAGAAAAGGTATGAGACCTGTACTGGTTCCACTGGGTCTGTACTGGTTTCACTAGGTCTGTACTGGTTCCACTGGGTCTGTACTGGTTCTGTTCTGGTTCAATTCTGGTTCCACTGGGTCTGTACTGGATCCACTTGGGTCTGTACTGGTTCTGTTCTGGTTCTGTACTGGTTCCACTGGGTCTGTACTGGATCCACTGGGTCCACGGGATCTGTACTGGTTCCACTGGGTCTGTACTGGTTCTGTACTGGATCCACTGGGCCTGTACTGGTTCCACTGGGTCCACTGGGTCTGTTCTGGTTCTGTTCTGGTTCTGTTCTGGGTCTGTTCTGGTTCTGTTCTGGGTCTGTTCTGGGTCTGTTCTGGTTCTGTACTGGGTCTGTGTTCTTCTGCAGTACCAGCAGGAGATTGCGTTGCTGCAGGAGAAGTTGCGAGTTGCGGCGCTGCGACAGGACGAGTGTGAAGCCCGACTGCTGATCCAGGACCAGCAGAACCAGCGCATGCTGCAGGAGTACCAGGTGAGGACTATCTGATCCACCTGATGATGTTTGTGACCTCTGACCTGTATAGATCTGTGGTTCATTGATCAGCAGCCTGATCACCGATCCAATATTGTTCATACAGTTTCACATTAATGTGTTTCAGGCCCGGCTGGAGGACACAGAGAGCAGACTGAGGAGACTGCAGGACGATAAAGACCTCCAGATGAACAGCATCATCAGCAGGTCCAATACCTGTCTGTAGACCTGTCTGTCTGCCTGTCTGTCTGTGTTCAGTATAAAGTTAACCCTGTGACCTCTGACCTGTGCAGGTTGATGGCAGTGGAGGAGGAGCTGAAGAAGGATCACTCTGACATGCAGGCGGTGGTCGACTCCAAACAGAAGATCATAGAGGCACAGGTACCCGTCTGTCTACCTGTCTGCCTACAGGTCAGGGGTCACTGCCAGCCCAGTAATAATAATAATAATAATAAAGGTTTCAGATATTTATATAAACTGTTATGTTAATGATATAATATAATAATATTTAGTAGAACGTAAACGTAGTCATTAGGTCTTTTATTGTGAAAGACACGTCTGCTTATGAAAGGTTTTTATTGAAACTAACTTACTTCCTGTCTCTCTCTCTCTCTCTCTCTCTCTCTCTCTCTCTCTCTAACTGTCTGTCTGTCTGTCTGTCTGTCTGTCTCTCAGGAGAAGAGGATTGCGAGTCTCGACGCCGCTAACAGTCGTCTGATGGCGGCGCTGACTCAGCTGAAGGAGCGGTACGCTGTGACATCACAGAGGAACGGGCTGTCTCCTAGCAACACGTCGTCTCTGCAGATCACTGAGAACGGAGAGTTCCGGAACTCCGGCAACTGCTGAGCTCTGATTGGCTCTAACGGAAGGGGAGGGGCTTATCTGCATGATGTGTGAGAGGCAACAGGAGGTGGGGCTACCGTGTTAGCCACGCCCCCTAGAGTAACCCAATCAATACTGTTACCACAGACCTGTCAATCAACTGTCACCTCCTACAGAGATGGATCTGACCTCCGAGCTCCTGTTGCTAGGTTACCCCTCAGTTCCTGTTTTTGTTTTGCATGTTTCCTTTTTCAACATTTTACCAAGCCTGACATCATATCCTTTTTTTTTTCTTTTGGTACTCCCTGTTGAGAGCCAGACCCCACCAACAACCAGGCTGCACGTCTTTATCCTATTGGACCAACTCTGGTTGTATATGGCTCTGGTCTGATTGAACCAACTACAGTCACATATGACTCTGGTCTTAATGGACAAACCCTGTCTATATATGGCTCTGGTCTTATTGGCCAAACTCTACAGCTTTGTTGTAACTCTGACTGTATGTGGTTCTGGTGTGACCAGCGCAACTTTGGCTGTATATGGTTCTGGTGTTTAGCAGTTTCTATTTAGATGAAAAACTTTATTGAGAGACGACACATGGACAGTTTGTCCGATGGAATATATTCATAACTCTTTATGTCTTAAAGGGACAGTCCAACTCTTTAGTCTCAGTCCAGTACACAGAGAGGGTTAGCCTAGCTTAGCACAAAGACTGGAAGCAGGGGGAAACTGTTAGCATAGCTCCATCAGAGCAATCTTGGTGTGATTGTGTTGAGCGTTTGGCCGCTCCGGGCTTCCGTAGTGGTGGATGTGACATTAGTTTGTGTCGTTTCAGAGAATTCTACTGATTTTAATGTAAACCTCAGATTTTATTGTAAAACTTTAAATTGTGATGATCAGTTTGTGCGCGTGCACACACACACACACACACACACACACACACACACACACACACACACACACACACACTCTCTGTGTCTGTATTTAAACTCTTTCTGTTTTTATTTATCAACATCAGTATTTATAAACAAATGCTCCAATAAACTATTCCACTATCATACTGTTGCCATGGCGATGAGTCACACACACAGTCTGACAGTAACAGGTTTTATTCATGAGAACACAGCAGGTGAACACAGGAAGTGATGTCACTAGTCGGTGGTCCAGTACTCGTGGTTCCAGCCCAGGAACCAGCCGGTGAAGGTCGGCGGTTCGAATCCCTGTTTGACGGTGGTGGTGGGGGTCCGAGGGTCTCTGTCGGCCGGGTCGCTCTCAATGTACCTGACAGCTGCACACACACAGGTAGCTGTTAGCATTCTGCTAGCACAGCGAGGACCGCTACAAGCTAACTGCTGATCCAAGTAACCTCAGGGGTCATCTGCCAATCAATAATTATCTGATCACACCTGTCTGTCTGTAACTTCCTGTCTATCTCACCTGACGATGCTGCCTCACTCTTCTCGTCCTCGTGAGCCTCGTTTCCGATCCAAACAAACACCTGAAGGACGACACAGGAAGTGAGGACATAAAGAGGATGGGGGGGGGCAATGTTGTTACCATGGTGACAGCAGAAGACAAACCTGGTCCCAGGTATCCAAGATCATGACATCATCAGGAGCGAGGTCATCCTGAGTCAGCTCACCTGGAACCTCGTCCATCTGAACACAAACACAGAGAGTTTAAAATGAATTACAGATAATATTTTATAGATTTATTAACTGATGCATTTACAATTAAATCATTTACAAACACCCTAGCGACAACCAAGTGAACCCCTAGCGACCACCCTAAACACCCAAACAACCAAAACAGCTGACCACTTATTTACCTATAAAACACCCAGAAACCACCTGTGACACCTAGCAACTGCTAATCGTTAGCATGAAGCTAATGTTAGCTAACTAGCGTATGTGAAACTCCAGGAACCTGAATGTGACCAGACTGACCAGGAAGTTTCCAGTCTTGTTGGAGCAGGCGAAGAGGCGAGGAGGATGAGCCTCCATCTTGTTCTTCAGCCGGGGTGTACGACAGTAGTCCTCCTGCCCCCCCCAACGCTTCCCAGAATGCATCTGTAATCACAAACATACACTGAGGGTTCAAGGTCTGGGTCATCATGGACCCACAGACTCCTCCGCCACCCCGCCCCCATTACCTTCCTCCTGCCCCTCCTCCAGTGCAGTGGGGGTCACCTGCAGGAGTCCAGCCAGGTGCTCCGTCCCCTGGACTTCAGCCTTGCTGCTGCTCCTCCCTCTCCACATCCAGGACCCAGAGGACGAGACCAGGAGGAAGACGTCACTGGAGTTCAGACTGGAGGAGGCCGGATCCACCTGAGGAGGACCACAGGGTTCAGGGATTGAACTGGTCAAACTGGGTTTACACTGGGTACAGATCTTGCAGTCTGATGGTGAATAAGTCTGGTTCTGTTTTCTGTCTCACCTCCACAGCTCTGGAGTCCCCAGCTGGATTGGCTCGGATCTGGAACAGGCGAGTGTCTGCCGGCTCTGACTGGCCGCCTTCTCTGGAAGTCCCACCCTTGTAGACCACCATTGGTTGGCCCCCAAACAGGCTCATGAGGTGGGCCGGCTCTTTGCCCTGAACCACGCGCACCTGCAGACAGGAAGTGATGTGTTGAGGATGAATTCAGTGTGTGGGTGTGTCAGAGAGAACTGGTCCCAGTGCTCCTAGTACCTGTACTGCACCTCCTCCCAGTTCCTCATCCAGCTGGACCGCCAAGATCGCAGATGCTCCCACCTCATCCTGGCTAGACTCCGCCCCCTGCCTGCAGACAGAGAGAGAGCCGCAGTGACAGGAAGCTGACACCAGAGGGAGCCCTCCGTACCAACAAACTGATCAATATTCTGATTGATATTCACAGGAAATAATCAAGTCTCTGGTTTTCCACAAACTTCCTGCAGTCATTGATTTCACTGTTTGGTTAATTGGACAGTTGATCAGCTGTTATTGATCAATAGAATATGAAATAATTAAGTTGATGATAGAACCTGGATGAATGTTGATCTCTTCGTGCAGCAGAGATATGATTCTTGTTTCTGGGATTGTTAAATTCCTGATTTCACTTTTCTAAAATATTGTTAATTCATTAAAAATCAAACTTGTTCCAGTAAGAATAAAATCTCCTGTAGTTTGGTGACGTATGGATCAGTGTTTTGGGAGGGGGACTGCTGTGATTGGTGACCTCAAAGGAAACAAGGTTGTACAGAATTCACAGTGATTGGTTTGTTTTGTTGAATTGAATTTGTTGAATTTGAACTGTTGCGATCACAGCTTCCTGGAAGGGCCGGATGATTTATTCGCTCTAAATGAATCTTTTCTGATTTCCAGCTCTTGTTAAGTCTCCAACTAAAGAAAGAACTGAGAGAAAAGTGGTTGGTTCACTCTCCACACAAACCAGAGCTCTGATAGGTAACCTACACTCATCATAGGACTTCAGAATAAAAGCGTAAGAATGGCTGTTCACCTTACACAATAAGAGCGTGATATCTCACCATATGTAGATGATGTGACCCTGTCTGTCGCTGTGTCGGTACTGATACAGAATGATGTAACTGTCTCCTCCATAGAACTGACCAAAAACTGACGGATCCACGGGAACCTTGTCTGATCCATCAATACGCCAGATCTACAGACAGACAAACAGACAGACAGAAGATATTTAGTTTGCAGTGGAGAAACTACATCTCCAATAATTCTTAAGTCCAGTTTAGACAGTTTCAGATCGTAGCAGGAACAGCTGCAGTGGTGTGAACTGTGAGTTACAGCTACAAATGCTCCACTGTAGACTGTATATCTATGCATATATATATATATATACACACACACATATATATATGAATATTGAAATATATACACACACAATGAAACTTAATAGAACCTTATGTAAACAAGGCACTGCGCCATCTTGTGCTTTGGATACCGGCCTAATATTACTCCATAAGGATGTTACTAAGTGTGAGACTGAATGAGTCCGAATCTGTAAGATAAATAACGGCCATCTGTATTGATGATGGTGTGAACTGGCAGGTTTAAGAAACCAAACAGTGTGTTGTCAGTTTCAACTGGTCTCATTGTGAATCTTTGGTCTGAACTGGACTTTAGGTGGATTTGAAAACCCTGATGGGAGCTGTAGTTACTCTTGTGTTTGGTCAGACAGACCTGGTCCCAGCCTCACCTGTTTCTCTCCGTCTCCGCGGTCCACCATCCCGTGCTGCGCTGCCATTGCCTCTGATTGGTGGAGCTTCGACACATCGAACGGAACCTTTCCAATCAGAAGAGCCAGTTTACAGAGCAGTCCTCAACAGTCTGAACCTGATCCTGAACTTGGTGGGTTTACCTTCTCTATCTTTGCAATCTGATTGGACACATAGGCCGTTCCCATGCCAACGGTGTCGTCAGGGTCCCTCCAGTCCTTAAAGAACTGCTTGAAGAGCGGAGTCTCCCCGAACTCTGGAAGGACCTGGACCTGAGGGGGACAGTTTGTAGATTATTTTCAGATTTAAGTAAATCCAAACTAACTTTAGGAAATAGTCCAAAATCCTACAGACTCAATCCAACATCACTAATCAGCTTTTTTATTTCTGAGTTATGACGAACTGAAAGTGACACTCACTGTGACACACCTGTGTTTTCAGGTGCGACAACAAAAAGCTTTTTAGAACATAGGGCAGGAACAGGTGAGACAGGGACAGGTGAGACAGTTTACCTGTGTGTATGTCGGGTAGTTCATCTTGTGGATGAACTGTTCTGACGTCTTCAGGACCGCGTGACGCTCCTCAGGGTTCGCATCCTTACCTGCACACACGCGCACACACACACACACACACACACACACACACACACACACACACACACACACACGTGAGTGACCAGCTGGTCATCTCTCAGTCAGCTGAGGAACCTAAAGAACATCTGAACCAGGTTCTACAACAGAACCCAGTCTGGACCTTTCCAGATGAAGATGTGTCCGGCGGCGCCGTTGTCGAGGATGAAGCACTCGCTGGACTGCAAAGCATTCTGGGAGAATGGATTCTGCTCTGCGACCATGCTAACCTCTATGTCTCCATCGGCATTGGACACCTGACAGACAGACAGGTAGATAGACAGACAAAGAGTTGGGCACTTCCTGCTGCTACTTCACAATAAAATCTAACGTCTGTGTGCTCACTGACAGACGTCCTCACCTTGTACAGTCGCGCCTGTTTCCTGTGAGCGGCGTCCATCTTGGTGTCGTCACTGTGAGCTTCAGGAAGCTCCGGCTTCTCCCCGAGAACCTGAACACAGAGGTCAGAGGTCAACAAGAGGAGGTCAACAGGTAGAGGTCAACAGGAGGAGGTCAACAGGAGGTGGTCAACAGGTAGAGGTCAACAGGAGGAGGTCAACAGGTGGAAGTCAACAGGTAGAGGTCAACAGGAGGAGGTCAACAGGTAGAGGTCAACAGGTGGAGGTCAACAGGAGGAGGTCAACAGGAGGAGGTCAACAGGAGGTCACCAGGAGGAGGTCAGTAACACAAACACCGATAAGCCATAACATTCTTCATACTTCTGGTTACTGACCACTGCAGACCGGGAAAACCACTCAAGATGTCTGAGATAACCCCCCTCCTCCACCACTGATAATCAGAGTTATAGCTGATATAATATATAATATCTGTGCAGTATTTTGAGGTCATGCTCGTTTCATCACCTCCAGCATCCTCTCAGGCTCCGCCCCCTCGTCACAGATCACCAGATTGGCCCGACCGCACCGTTCATCGTCACGGATACCCTTAGACACCTGTCAATCAACAACCAACCAATCAATCATCAGTCAATCAATCGCTGACATGGATAATGATGATGTAATGAGGTGATGTCATCACTCACCACAGTGGCCTTCAGCTTCTCAAAGCGGTTGCTATGGGAACCAGACCACTGGATGATGTGCTGTAGAGAGAGAGACAGGTTCACAACTGTGTGTCTATCCGACTGTCTCACCTGTCCACATGTCTCACCTGTCCACCTGTCTCACCTCTCCCAGGTCCAGGATGAAACTGTCTCCCTGG